TTGAGATACACCTGTGGGCAGTGTGTATCCAGGTGTGCTCAGGCCACCATCTCGGATGACACTCAGCAGGGACTTGTTTAATCACAAGTGTCCTCAGGCTTTGCCCAGGGCATCAGCATCTAAACCAAGAGGGGCCTTTCCTTGGCCTTTGCATTGTAAGAATCTCCCCACAGAATTCTTGCGCCAAAGGAAAATCAGCCCCAGAGCCTAACTTTTCCAAACAGAGTGCAGGCCTATCTCCCAGCATCAGCAGGGTAGGATGATTTGAGAAGCCCCGTCAATAGGCAATATTGGAAACATGAAACAGAAACTTCAGTGTCTCAATCCTTGCCAAATAAGATGGCCCTACTGAAGAGAAATATTTTGGAGACTATGTAAAGCTGGCTTCTTGGGTGCTGAAGAATAATCACCTCAGTACAGAACTGGCCAGCACCCCTGGGAGATTTAGGGGACATAACAATACGTGCGGCAGTTAAGCATCCATTGAGCCCTTCCTAAGGTTCAGGCATTGGCCTGTATACTTGACAGATATTGACTCCTTTCACCCACAACAGCCCCATTTTATTTCATCTAGGTATTTTTATTGTCACCCACTTTTTACAGAGGAAAAAAACAGAAGCACAGGTTAAATGGTTCACTCAAGGTCACGAAAGATTGATGGGATTCAAACCTACACATCCTGTCTCCAGAGCTCTGCCTGTCAGTGCTCTGCTGAGCCGCCTCTCAAAAGACATTTGGCCAGTGGTTGAGCGTCGACCTGTGAACCAGGAAGTCATGGTTTGATTCCCAGTCAGGGCACATACCTGGGCTGTGGGCTTGATCCCCAGTGTGGGGTGTGCAGGAGGCAGCCGATCAATGATTCTCTCTCATCGTTGATGTTTCTATTTCTCTCTCCCTTTCCCTTCCTCTCTGAAATAAATTTTTTTAAAAATGTTTTAAAGATGACTTTGTCATTACCTCTGTGTTATGAGTACCTCAGCATCTCTTCTACAGGATGAAGCAAGGGAGTGACCCTAAGCAAAGATGTCTTCAGAAGCAGGGGTGGTGCAAGGGGGTGAGGAAATAGGGAACTGAGCTCGGTACATAGCCCTAAGTAGACTACTTAAACTATAGAGCAAACTCCTGCGTGTGTAGGGGACCAGCCAGCTGTCAACCTGCGTGCTCCATCCATGCTCTCTGTCATCTACTGTGCTCTCCACCGTCTGTCCTAAATGCTAATGCGGCTCCCTCTAGCCTCTGATTCTAACATGAATCCCCATATTTCTAGTTCACACGATTATGCTTATAAATGTTGCTTTAGGACTTACAAAGGCCTACTAGAAAATTTCAGGACATCTCTGTACAAAATCTTGATACATTAATTACCTGGAGCTATTCTGGCCCAGGGTTTCCCAAAGCATCTTCTGGTCCCAAACCTTGAGGACAGCTTGTTAAAAATGAGGACTCCTAGCACTCATCGTAAGCCACAGAATGAACAGCTCTGGAGGTGCGCGGGAGGGTCTGTATTTTTCACACCTTCCCCTAGTGATTCGTATGCACACTGAAGTCTGAGTAGCGTTATTATCTTGTTCTTGGAAAACCGAGCTATAGCAACAGTGTTTACTGGGATTCTGCTTCAAGCACAAGTGAAATCCTCCCATGTCTCTGTAATAAGCTTTCTCTAAAGAACCCTCTTTGTCATCACAACTGATACGTCTCCCATTATCTGAAGAATAATGATCTCAGCCTGGCTTTTAAACACATTGGAACCCACCCCAGTTGTCTAAACTCCCTCCTACTCCAGTGTTTCCAAAATGTGTCCCCCGTCTCACTAATGATTTTAAGAGTCACCTGAGATGAACTTCTCTTCTTTTTACTTCAGAGGCCATGTGTTTATTTTCATCTGAATGAAGAAAAGTCATAACAACAGTATCCAAACCTGTGATTTCATGAAGACTGGGGCTCAAGTGGAAAGTCAAAGAATCAATGTTGAAAACTGTTACGTAAATAATAGCACAGGCAGTACCCAGATAATACGTCTTAAATTTAGGGAACGTGACCCTGCCTGCTCCTTTCTGACAGGCACCCTCCGTGTCAGCTGTGCTACTCCGTTCTCTGACGCTGGCCACAGGCATTCTCCGCTTTTATTCCAGCTGTGTCCGTGCCCATGAACCACTGCCTCCTCTTATAAATACCTCTTTAAATGTTGCCCACATTTCACACCCAGTGCATGCCTCCTTTCAGGAACCCTCCAGAGCCTTCCAGCTCTCCTAGCCTACTCCCTTTCTGAATTCCTTCAAATATTCATTTAGAACCTTATTGTTGTTTCCCTGGTTAAATGGAAGCCCCTGGAGAGTCACCCATCATCTCTTTTACCTCTGGATTAGAATGCTAAACTTCCCTGGTTGAATCTGAGCAACAAACAGCGAATACAGGTGAATTCATCGCTCAGAAGAATGAAACGTTCCACAGCAATGCGAGGAGCAGCTCCAGCTCCCCCTCAGAGTTCTTAGCCACACCTGGAAAAGGGTGCATCTCTTCATCACGGCCAGGTAAGGAGTGCAAAGGCCTGAGCTCGGGGAATTCTACCCTAAGGTGTGATTCTGTAGTGGTGCCCTGGCTGATGGGAATGGGAAAGGTGACCTTACTCAGCCCACGTGCAACTTGGCTCTGTTTCCAAGGGCCAATCAACCTCTGCTGATGCACGCCCACCCTCGGGCTGGAGGAACCAGAGTGGCCACAGCTTCCTCTAGTGAAAACAACACTAGGTGAGCAAAGAGAACCAGCTCCACTTCTTGCTTCATTAACCGATGCCTTTAGCCTTTCTGTAGCTCAAGTTTCTTTAAAACTGTCCAATACCTGTCATACTTAATTCACACTTGCTATAAGGCAAAAGGGATCATGAGATGATGATTTTGAAAGCTCTTTAAATTATCACGTACAATAAAAACGTTCAGGGACGCAGCAGACGGATCTGCAGGGAAAACAGACCAGGGAGGCTCAGTTCCCCACCAGACAGTGGTGAGCAAGAGGAGATGTGGGCCTCACCTCCAACCCCCCTTTGCCTGTCATGTCACCTCGGGTACCACGTAGCTTCTCTGGGACACAATGTCCTTGTCTGTAAAACGTGCCTGTGCACTAGGTGATCTGGTCCAGGGCCAAATCCAACATGAATTTGAGAAGATCAGAGAAAGATAACCAAGCAAGACTACTGGCCACTGTGCGCTTCACTGGAAGTGCTCAGAAGTGGGAATGGTGCCCTGCTGGGCCCAGGGTTTGGGTGGGCCCCAACAAAGCACCACCAGAGGCACTCAGACATCTCCCGCTCCAACCAAGACCTGTTCTCTGAATAAAAGCGGACCTGCTGCTCTCGGCCTCTCCTCAAACTCCCTCCTCCGCATACAAAGCAAAAGGCCCCGTCTCCTCACAACCATAGTCATGGTTTTTATCTCCTTCCGATCCTAAAACAACAACAACTTCAGAACCATAGTTGTTTAGTATTAAGGTCTGGCTCTGAAATTAGTTATCTCTTCAGCTCCCCCTCAGACACATACTGCTTTCATGAGTAAAAGGACTAACAGGCCTGTGTGGAAAGGACATGGGGAATGAGTGGAAACTCGGGTGGTGGGAGGGAGGCAGAGGTCCGGAGCATTGTGGAATGGAATGGCACTGCATTCTTTGGGATTCCACAAAGGTTTGCCTGCTTCCCAAAGTGTAAGTCACAAATCACCCAGGGATGTACTCGGTGTGGTGTGTTGGAGCTTCCCTGCAAGCCCCGTAACCATGGTTTCGGGCAGCCTACATCACAGCCCTGAGCATAAAGAGAAGAGGCTTTTTCTGATTCTCCCCTAAAAGTCCATTGCCTTGAAAAAAATATGTGAGGTGATATGCCAAGGTGATTCATATGCAACCTCTGACCCTAGGACAATCATGAAGTTATTTGTTCTCAGTAATTAGATGATTTCTCTACATCTCTCCGCGAGAAGCAGATACTTCTCTTCTTGTGGAGATCAAAGAACCCTGAAAACATATACACCCAGATCCACACCTGCTCTTGGTGGAAACAGGTAACAAGAATTTCTAAAAATACAGAAATTTATTTCCTCATTTAACACTATCCCTCCTAGAACAGCTAAAACAAGGCTGCGTTCTCCCTGCTTTTCTGGGTACTGAGGCTGAAGGCATTTAGCTTATATAGTCCATGGACAAGGCCTATTTCCCAGCCCCTAATATTTTGACAATGTAATCAATTAACTCAGTCTCAGACTTAGAAATGGTATTTCATCCCACATATCTTGAAAATCAAAACAGGGAAACTATAAGTAGGTTTCAAAGCACTGATTTTTCAATTACTCGCAAGCAGAACCATTTTTTAAATACAACACTTATTCTGGATGGCGGGGTAATGCATTGGGCTGATGTTTCTTGGACCCTGGAGGGGGCATCCTGGAGGAGAACACATTTTTCTCCCTGTAGGTCCGAAGATGAGCTACCCACCACGCCACAGAATAGAAACAAGCTAGCTTCCTCCAGAGGGGAAAATAAAGCAGCTCCAGACTCGGTGAAGCAGGACAAAGCCAGGACGTGCAAGAAGCCTTCAGTCTCGGGCTCCACGTGCCTGTCCAAGGACAGAGGAACCCACCCACACACAATCACACACAGCCAGCCCACCACGCGCCTGCGGAAGGCGCCGGGTTCTCCGCCAACCTTCAGGCACTGGCTCGGGGCTCTCTCAGCTGGAGAGGTCCCTGTAGCACCCGCTGGCTGGAGGGGGCAAAGAGCCAGACCCTCTTCCCAAGTCTCTTCTTCTTTACTCCTATGCCTACGACCTCTCCCCAACTACCAAGCAGAGGGTGCTTTTCTCCAAGGTAACTGAGACTTCGGTAGACACACACACTCCAGGTGACAGTGAAGTCCCTGCACCCTACTACCAAAGCCAAGGCCCCGAGTCTCCCCTTCGCACCCCCAGCCAAGCCCGGACCCCACAGCTGGGCTCCTGGACCGGGAGGCGCCAGACTCACCCAGTCCTCGAAGTGGCGGCTCCCGTTCTGCAGGAGCTCCTCAAACTGGATGGTGCAGTTGGCCACGAAGTCGTCGTAGCCGATGGGGGCATCGTGGAAGACGGCCAACTCGATCTTGCGCCCGTTGCACACGTCGGTGACGAACTCGTCGTGCCAGGCCGGGCTGTTGGTCTTCTGCTTGGTGGCCGTTTGGCCGATGCGCGAGTCGTCCACGTTGAGGGCAATGTAAGGGTCCAGAAGGAAAGTCTGTGGCCGGAGTCCCACTGCATGGCGCAGCGACCAGGCTGTGGGCTTCAGGCTCACAGCCTCGCAGATTTTGATTTTAAGAAGGCCATTGAACACTACCATGGTCGGGGCGTGGAGGGGGGCCGGGATCGCTCCGTCCGCCCCGAGGGCAGGATGAAGAACCGACGCCCCGGCGTTGGGAGCCGCGGGGGCTCCTTAGTCCCCTCTCGCCCCACCCACACTCTGCCTACACTTGTAGCGCTGCGCCCTGGCGCGGGCGATTCTCAGTGAGTGCAT